AAATTATCAGCAGAACTGCTAAGTTAGTAGGCAGTGTTGCAGGTTTGAGAGCGATATATTTAGGCTAAGTTAAAGTTTAGTTTTGTAACAAACATTCTATAACTTATGAGCCTCCAACAGGATACAATATTACAAATGAGTAGAATGAATAAACTGGGATCCTTTTGTACCTGAACAAGTTCATGATTGTCAGCTATACAGTATATTTATACCTGAGATGTTTGTGTTCATTGGAAGTCATGCAAGTTATTCTGAGACCTTGCCAAATAGGAAAGCTTACTTTCTCTACTGAAAATAATTCAGACCAAGTTTGTTGGATAAACTCAGAGAATTTCACAACAGTTTGATAAGGCTCTGTTGTCCATCACTTGCTGCCCTGCTAGAACTTAGTCGTCTTATTATTTCAATATGTTGAATAAGAGGCTCTTTATAAACACTTGTGTGAGTTTAAGGGGGGAGAGTGGTAGGTGGTTGGGGTTTTTTCTGATCTCATACTATACTTTGACTGCTTCTTTTCATTTGTAACTTGCTATACACAAAACCTTAAATTATAGTTAACTTTGTGTTAAAAGTTTCATTCTAGAAGGAGACTTGCTAAAAATATCCATCACGAATTTCAGTAAAGATAACATAAGGAATTCCTTGCATCTTGAGCAGGTGCACTTAAATAATTTCTATTATTGATGCTTTGGAGTGCTAATGCTATTGCTGAATGAAAAATAACTAATACTTAAATGGCTATGGCAAGACTTTAACCTGTTGTAAAAGGTTGTGGGATTATTTTGGCGTTTAGATACTGATACAACTTCCTGAAGTTGGAAGTACTGTAGCCAGGCACATTCTCTTGAGTTTGTAGTTCAGCAAATACTTGTGTAAGTTTTGTTTCAAATAGCAATTATAACTATTTCAGCACTTGTGAAACTGTTATGAAAGGACTTATTTATTGGAAATAGATTAAAGTATTTCCTTGAATCGTGATCCCAGGGTGAGTATATCTCTTCTAGCTTATTGAATCAAATCTATGTGCTTTTTGTTTCTTGAAGTTCTTTCAGAAGTACTGAAAGACACAGTGAACTTTGTTGTCTGCTCAGAAATTAGTGCAACCAGAATGAGGTATCTTGCATAACCCTCTGCAGCTTAAAGACTGAGCAAAAGCCTTGTTGGCCACTTCGGGACTAGGAGTTAGTAGTTACTACAGTACATCTTCCAAAAAGTAAAAGTTAAGTGTGTTTTGGTGTGCAGACGAGATCCTGCCAACATTGACTGCTAAGAGGTCTTAATGTGGTGAAACTTTCATAGATACCTCACCTGTAGGAAAAAGATGGTGAAGGAAGTTCTGGAGTAACATTAATTGTATTAACGTTTTTCTTTGAAGTCTTAAATTTTATTTAGCTTGAGAGATTTGGAATGCACAGGATAGAATCTGGAAAACTAAGTTTGGGGTGTGTGTGTGTGTGTCCCAAGATGCAAGTTTGAAAGGAAAGAAAGTAAATAGTTGAAAAGTAGCTCATTATATGTTGATACTGCTTGTGCTTTTTGGGGGAGGGTTCATAGTTCCTTTTCCCCCCCTTTTCTTTCCTTTTTCTTGAATAGCGGTGCTACAGAGCTCACTGTATTGAGAGCTCCTGACCCACGTTGCCTGTAAGCATCGTGTAAGGTACGCCTTCTACCATACACTAGCAAAGCGGGTCACTCTAATCAGCAGAAGTTGCCCCGTTACTGGAAGCAGAGTTTAAGAGGTGTAGTTGTTTATGCTGCAGAGATGATTAAAAAGCTTTATTAAGAGTAGGCAGTTTTTTTAAAACAGTCTGATAACTTGCATATTGATTTTTGACAGCTGACTTGATCTCCTATTTTAACTTAATCTGTAGCTGATAAGGAGGTATTTCTTAGAGGTAATTGCTGTGACTAATTTATCTTAACACTGTCCTCACATCATCTTCCTTTTTCTGGTCATCACAGGAACATTATGTAATAGTAGTTCTTACAGGGAAGGCAATACCTACCGTGTGTCAGTTCTTCCCGTGTTTTTAATGTGATCTTTACCCGTTTATGGGAAGTGTCTGTTCTCTTAGTTACCTACTTACTCTTACTTACTCTGTTCTGGCTTTGGTTTGCTCCCCTTTCTCCTCTCCTCAACTGAAAACAAGACTCTCTAATTACCAAGTTCTGTATAAAATCTCTTGTGATAAAGATTGATCAGCATACAGCAGTGCTTCTGGAGAGAGTCTGATTTTACCAAATGAAAAGTTCTGAGTATGTTTTAATAACATTATAGAGCTTCCTCCATGTAAATAGCATAGATGTACCCATGGTCTACTGAAAATACTTTCACTGCTGAAGAATAGAGAGAAATCCTTGATGAGTGGTTTACACTGTACATTTTTTAAGATAGAAATTAATAATTTTTTTTTTAATTTTCAGATCCGTTTATTATGAAAAGTGGTGTTGCACATTGTCAGCCAGTGTTCCTTGTCCCCAGCTTTGATCACCGCTTAATAATAAAACAATATTGCATGGAGCAATTGATGCAATTACTTGTGGTTTATATACTTCAGATTTCAATATCTAGCATGTTATGCCTATGATAGCGTGCTTCAAGGTGTGGTTTTAGACAGCTGACTAAAACTTTTAAGTATTAAATTACTCTTCTTTTGTCTTTTTATATTCTGGAGGATCTGCAGAGTTCATATGTAAGTTTAAACTACTGCAATGTTAAAGTAATGATCTATACAAGACCTCAGTTTTAAGAAATGAAGTACAAAAATACGTACCCACATAAACAGTGGGGATACTCAGCTAAGCAGAAAGCAGCTTCCAGAACTGGGATTCATATTGCTAAGGCTTAATAGCGCTAAAAAAATACTATGAGAGGAGGAAGCTAAAAATTTGGACTACCTACTATATGTATATTTTTACATATAGTATGATATACATATATAAATGTACATATACACATATATCAAATTTATTTTTATAACACTGCTAATATTCTGATAGAGAAGAGAGAAAGCTGTTTTGAGCCCAGTTCCTGTAAGGCACAGGTGTCCTAGGAAATACCCAGCTCCTTCATGGAAAGCGATGTGCTTCTCTTATCCAAGAACTGAGGAGAACGCTACTGAAAGATTAGAGGTGAATTTTGAGGACAGCAGAGGAAGAGATCGTCTCTTTCACAAGCCTGTTAAGAGTCAGTCATTTTGACCTTCTGCTCCAAATGAGAAGGAAAAAACCAAAGAAGAGGCAAAAGCACCATAAATGTAATAGAATCCTTCATAATACCATGTTTGCATATAATGTCTAATATCATTCTTTCCCATGTATAGGGAAAGGAGGTAGTACAGTAACAAATAATGGCTTTGGCTATTTGTTCCAGGTGTTTAAGATATTAATTTAAATGTAAAATATATGGTGTGAGTGCTCATTCTGTTGTTTACAGCTCCTCTTCCCCGCCATGATTCTTCCCTGTGGATTGTGCCTCTACCTTTCTCCTACCCTTCTTTCTCTCTTGGGAAGCGCCTGTACCCTGCAACTTTCCATCCTCCTTGGAAGAGACTGGTGGCCCTCTTAATGTGAAGACAGAAACTGGAGCAGCAGTTTGTTGCCGTCTTGACAGATTCATAGTCAAAGTTCACTAAAATATTGGAAGGAGAGCATGATGAATAACGTGGGAAAGATCTGCTGAGTCTGGGAAACGTTTTGAAAGAGGGTGGGCAGTTGAGGAACAGTTTTCCAGGGGCCTATATTAGAACTAGCTGGTACATTCTTGCGGGTAATAATTTCTCTGTATTATCTTAAACTGATCTTGAAATTGTGGTGAGTGGAAAAACCATCCATCTCTACTGAGTCTTCTGACACAATTAATCTGGGAAAAAAAACCAACTTAATTCCTTCCTAGTTTCCACAGACCTCTATTTAGATACCTGTGAATAATATACATCAGCTTTTTTTCCCCCTTGTTGTAAAATAGAACAGGTATGAAATTTCTCAAATTTTTCTAAAGGTGAAATGTAAATGTAGAACAGGCATACTGTTAGCAATGAAGAAACTTTAATATAATCTTAATGAGGATTTAAGGCAATATTGCATAAGGTGCAAATTGGCATCCCAAGATTTTTTCTTGGTTTTAGTTACTAAAAATCAAGTCCGAGTTCCTTTCCCAATGTATTGCTGAAACATGACATAGACATTGGGCGTTATGCATATTGTTTAGCGTGTAATCCTGAGATTATCGTGTAAGATAATGTTACATGGTTGTTTAATGCAACTGAAATTAAATTATGTCCAGCTATTAGAGTAGGTAAGCATTTGAAGAAGTAAACATCCTTAATTTCATGTTTCGGAACATGTTTCAAGTTTAAGCTTAAAACACGGCTTAGAGATGCTAATTAAATTTATTGAAATGAAAAGTTTCTTGATGAAGAACAAAGGTTATGACCTATTTATTGCTACTAGAAAAGATTGCCAGTGTTGTTAGAAAACTTCCTTACCTGCAATTTCAAGATTAAAATTTTACTTTATTAAAGAGGTAAATAGATTAAATTACTGTTATCTCAGTGTAGTGCAGCTAATTTTCAAAAATGTTAACTTTTTTTTTGTTCTTAGCAAGGTAGGTAAACAGTATATTTTGAAATTGTTTGGGGTTTTTTGGTACATCTTTATTTGCATATTGAGATTTTTGCTATTTAAATGTTAGCTTTGAAAAAAGATTACTTTGGATTTTAACAGATTTGTGTATAAAATAAGTTACGTAATGATTCTGGTTATCTCAACTTTTAGGCAGTGTGAATTGCTTTTATAGGTTCATACATGGTTTTGTTAGTATTTTGGGAGACAGTAAAACAGTAAATGACAATTTAACTTGTTTATGTTAGACACTACTTGCCTTCATCTTTAAATAAAAAACCCCTCACGTTCTAATTCTTATTTCCTTAAAAAGCATTTTTCATTGCAAGGTTGTGTGATTTGTATTTTATAATACTGTTACACTTTTTATTTTTCAGTCCCAGAAATCCTGGATAGAAAATACTTTCACCAAGAGGGAGTGTGTGTATATTATACCAAGTTCAAAAGACCCCCACAGGTAAACGAGAAATGATGCAAGAACTCATTGCTGCGCTTAAAAATTAAAAAAAAAGTCAAAAAAGTCAGTATTGTAAAGAGAGTATATAATAGAATTTTGGAATAACTACTCTATCTGTATAAAACACTGTCTTTAGTTCATTCTTTCGTGACTGGGCGTTGTCACTCTTTGTGTCTGCCTT